TTACGTAAATATATTTATATTTTTATCAAACAAATAAATTAATTAAATATATGAAATTCATCTATTACAAATAACTTATATCATATTAATTGACATTTTTCTAATTAAATAAATTCGAAAATTTACTTTTCTATTTTCATTAAATTTTTACAAAAATGCCTAAACAAAAAAAGTCTAAAAAATCTAAAAAACCCAGATATCAAAATATTTCTATTGCTCACAAGCATCAAATCATAAATGATGTTAATAATCTTTGTAAGCCAATTCAACAAGTTGCAGCAGAACTTCGTTTGGCTTCATCAACTATACAAAGTATTATTATAAATTTTGATGAAAAAAATTAAATTAAACCTAAACCAAGAGGTGGTGCTAACCATTCTATAATAACTGAAGAGCATTAAAATTTTTTGAGTAAAGCAATTAACGATAAACCATGGATTTCAATCGCTAGCTTAAATCAAAAACTAACCAGCCAATTTTCTAATATTCATGTATATATAATCTCTTTCTTTTTTATTACTTTTTCATTAATATTAATACTAATATTAATCTATTTTTATTATTATAGGTGAGTGATTGTACAGTAGCTCGTTATGTTAGTTATATTGAATTTACTCTAAAAAGATTAAGGCCTGTATTTGAGGGTTGTAATACAAATAATACAATTCTTAAAAGAGAAGAGTATATTAAAGATATTGCAAATTGAAATATTGATATATTTGACAATATAGTATATATTGATGAAACTGGATTCAATCTCTATTTAAAAAAATCAAAAGCCGTGCAATTTGTAGACAACCTGCGATTCAAAAATTTGTTAATAACAAAGAAAAAATATTTTAGTAATTACTACTATTGGTAAAGATGGTGTTTTAAAACATCAATCCATTTTGGGTTTAGTAAATGCAAATATTTTTGCAAATTTCATTCGTGATCTTTGTGAAATAATCCCTAACAATAAATTTTTTGTAATAGATAATATCCATTTTCATAAGTCAGGCATAGTAAAAGATGTTATCAATAACACAACACATAATATTATATACTTGCCTCCCTATTCACCCTTTCTCAATTCTGTTGAAAATTGCTTTGCAAGAGTTAAGAATTTAGTTGCTAGAAACTATCTTAGAGATAGAGAAACTATATTGAATAGAATAAGTAAGGTATTCAATATTATTATAGCAGAGGATTGTAAGAGATAGATTAGACACACATCATCTTATTTTCAACAATGTTTAAATAAGATGATAATTGATTTATAAATGATATGCATATGCATATGT